TTCTCCTCCCAGTCCAGGATCTGGGGGGTGGGACGCGCCGTGGGGCAGGGCGAGGGGCAGAGCCCCCCGGGGTGCCAGGCAATGCCCCCCCAGCAACATCACGCCGTGGCACCCGCCGGGTGCCCCCCACCCACCCGCTCACCTCCGACGGGGACATCTTCTCACCCAGGTCCATCTCCTCCTGCGGAAGGGGGGAGGTGAACGGACACAGGACACACCAGCGATTGGCCAAGGTGGGACAAGCCAGGCTTGTGATCGGTGGAGAGAATGCACGCTGTGCCATGATTGGCTGAGCAAAGTGGGGTAAATCCCATGGCTGTGACTGGCCGAGAGGCTCTGGGTCACGCCACGATTGGCCAGGAATGCTTAGGATTCGGAGGATGCACACCGGGGGGAGGTGAACGGACACAGGACACACCAGCGATTGGCCAAGGTGGGACAAGCCAGGCTTGTGATCGGTGGAGAGAATGCACGCTGTGCCATGATTGGCTGAGCAAAGTGGGGTAAATCCCATGGCTGTGACTGGCCGAGAGGCTCTGGGTCACGCCACGATTGGCCAGGAATGCTTAGGATTCGGAGGATGCACACCGTGATTGGCTGAGCAAAATCGGGACAGTCTGAGATTGGCTGCATAGGCACAGGCCAAACGTGATTGGCCAAGCAGAATCTTGCCAGGCCCCCTGATTAGTTCTGAGAATCCATGGTGGGCTCCGATTGGCTGAGAGGAGCCTTGCCCAGCCTGTGATTGGCTGCAGCTTACCACGATGGAAATGCGGACGTGTTTGGCCTTGTGATAGGCCATGCCCTGGGCCTGGGACCACGTGGGGAGAGACAGCGGCGTTAGGGCGTGGTGTGGAGATGGATGGGATGGGATGAGAATGGATGGGATAGGACAGGATAGGGTGGGATGGGATGGGATGGGGCAGGATGGGATGGGATAGGATGGGATGGGGTGGGATGCGATGGGAATGGATGGGATGGGATGGGGCGGGACGAGGCGGGATGGGGCGGGGGGGGGAGGGGTAGGGGGGGGA